AGATCGCTCTTACCACAGAAATGCACTCTTTAAACAAAACAGTCAATGAAGACGAAGAAGAGAATGATGTGTGTTCCCAGCGCCTATTTATACTATAGTCGCACTAGTGACGTCATGGCTGTCGCCGGCCAACGAGTTGGCGTTTTTTCATGTGTCTCTATTTAGGTTAAAAAAAAATAAACGAAACATTAAAATAACACAGACTAAATAAAATAATTCATGCGCGTTCATATTCCCCGCTGCCTGTAACGTTAACAGTTTTATTCAAATGCTACGCATTTAGCCCTATGACGTCTGATTTTATATTGTTTATCAACAGTATACATTTTTATATTGTTTGGATTAACTAGCCGAGTAGCCAATTATCAAAGTGGGAAGTGATGTCCTCTGGGGGCATTTGGCCAGGGGTGTTTTTACACCACAGACAAGGTTTGAGAAGAAAAAAATCATTATGAAAATATAATTATATTTTCCTTAAAATGTTCTTCCTAACTTTAGGCCTTATTCTCATGTCATATATAACTGTGATGTTCTGCAAAACAACAAGCTTTAAAAAAATTTTTCTTACTGGTGAAAATCAGATGATCAGATATGTTTTCTCTCAGGTACATTGCAGTGTAAGCTTCATAGTGAACATTACTATATCACTCTCGTCAACGTAGTCCATATCAACAACAAAAATATATCTTGACTCCATATAGTGGTTATTTTGGGAAAATCCCAGGTATTTTGAGCAGTAGGATTATAAAAAATATGTGCTAATATAAATTTAAATTAAGTAGCCTATATAAAATTGCAAAATAAATCTATCAGTACTTTTTTACTTAAGTACATAAAAAATCGAGTACTTTTGTACTTTCACTCGAGTAAAATTGAAAAAGGAGTACTTTTACTTTAACTGGAGTAATATTTTATTAATACGTATCTGTACTTTTACTCAAGTACTTGATTTGTATACTTCGTCCAATGGCCAAAATGACTCATTTTGTTTGCAAAATGCTCCAACACTCACAAAACATTAAAAACATGCAACATAAGCAAATACTTCCATCAAACACCACAGCTTGTGGTCAAATTAATTTATTCTTTCAATCAGTCATTACACAATGGACAACAAAATACAAAACACAGCTATCAATATGAAATTACACTGTTCAAACTCAGAAGTGTTGAATATAGTTTTTTTTTTAAAAGAGGAAACTTATGGGTGGTAATATCTAAAAAAACAAAATGAAGAGTTGAAATACTCAGAAGTTCAAATTGGATGTTTTCCCTTGCAGTGTTGCAATGCACCAATGGAAATACCTCTTTGTATGGTAAATCCATCAACAGCCCTCTCACTTTAGGTGAAACCAGTCTTTCATTTAGTGCATCAAGAAATGTGATGAGGCATTCTGTATTGAACTGATAGTTTGTATGTGGCAAAGGACATCATTGGAGATGGCAGCACACATGGTGATATTGGCACCCCTCTGACCTGGCACTGCAACAGTGACCCTCTGCCCAATAAATGTTCCTCCCGTGTCTCCTCACTTTACAGAGGTTGAAGCTAACTTCATCCACAAATGAATTTGTGATGTGCCCCGTGAGCTTAAAAGTACATTATTCTCTAAAAAAGCAAATTCATAGAGCAAATTATTCCAGTTGCATGTAACTGTATGGTATAACATTGCATTACAATAACAAATCCGAACAAAGCATATCAAAATTGACATTATGACAAACACAAAAATGGGACTGATGAAACATCTGCATTACTGTAGACAAAGTGCATTCTGCCAACAGGGCAATACAGTAAAACTGAAATACACAGTGCTATACAGTAACATTGTGACTTACCTGTTGTCATTTTGAAAAAAAGCCTGGCAATAGATGCCACAGTGCTCTGACTCAGAATGGGTTGGACCCTTTGTCCAGCCTCTCTAAAGGACAAGCTATGACTGATGATATGGTCAATAATTGTTGCCTGAATTTCATTTGAAATTTGAGCTGTATTTTCTCCTTCTACAGTAATGCAGCTCCTCCACCAAGTATGCAAACTCCTCTTTCTCTGGCCCTCTGCCATGCTCTCTTACTCTCCTTCCATGCCTTTGGTCTCTTTGATCCATACTTGCAAATAGCAGGACAGAGGTGGAATCTTTTATAGAGGGATGAGGACTGATTGCTGATTGAAGAGTTGTGCAAATGAGTTTCACACAGGTGCACTAGAAATTCATAATTATGCAAGTACTTTCTATCAGCTGTGAATAAATGTTTTCCTTTTGTTCAACACAGTGAATCTAATAGAGTTTGATATAATAGAGTCTTTCAATGAGATCTGTAGTGACTGTTTTGACAAAGGGTGTGAAAAATGTGTGAAACAAATGAAAAAGTGTTAAGGCATTTGCAAGAGAATACTTCTGGTGTGCTAAGAATGTGATGATGAAGATCAAGTGGATCCCAGTTTCATTAAGCATGTCTTAGCAAATGAGAAAGGCCAAAGGGCGACTTGAGTTATACACCAATACTCAGATCCCCACCCCCGCAGCTACAGAGTGAAATGATACCAAATCTGCTGGAAAACCGCAGACTTGGCAACAAGCAGCATAGCAGCAGAGATAAAGATAACGGGGAATCTTAAATGCGTCATTTACTGTTACTCTTATGGGTGTGAGTTGTATTATGTTGTGCAATAGATGTATGTGTGCAACAGATGTATGTGAAAAGCATTTTGAAAGCATCCCATCCGAGCGATATATTCAACAGCTTCTTTTCAGGTATTTAATGCATAAAACATATCCCAGGTTACGATTAGGTTTTTAAATCATTTAATATATTATAATATATTTCGTTTTATTTATTGGTTAATTGTATATTTAGTTCGTTTTATGTATAGTATAGTTTTATGCTTAACAAGTTCTAAAGTTTTGTGACGTTTGTTGTAAAGTTATAAAGTTTGTGGCAACTACCTTATTACTCAAAAGGTAACGTTAGGCCATTTTTTCTTCGTGCTTACGTGTTCTTCGTGTTTAAAGATGAAATATGTAACCTTTTTGGTTTTAAAATACAGCGCTTCCTGTCTTCATAACTTCTAATCTCTTTTTGACTGCTCTGTAAAATAACAAGTAAAATGCAATTTGATATTGCATTAGTTCATAGAGAGAGAGAGAGAGATTTAGGTTCGTTATAAAACAGTAACATGTAAAAATTGTAACAACCTCATTTTTATATGGTGCAATTTAATTATTTTGACTGTTTGAGTTTTATTCAAATTAACCATTGGTCTTCTTCCATTAGCATACATTTAGATCATGATAACGACAGTTAAAACCACACCTCAATACCATGATAAAAATTGAACTAGGCTATATGGTTTCCAGGTATTTGTATGAAAAACAGTGACCTAAATACATTTACTATAAATGCACAAATGCTATAGTTTAATATATATATATACAGGTGCATCTCAATAAATTAGAATATTGTGGAAAAGTTCATTTATTTCAGTAATTCAACTCAAATTGTGAAACTCGTGTATTAAATAAATTCAGTGCACACAGACTGAAGTAGTTTAAGTCGACATATTAGAGGTTTTTGCATCTGAACTCTTCATATTATTGATGATATGTTATGAACTCATGCAATGTCAAAGTGCATTTATTTATACATGTTATTTAATATTGTATCTTAATGTATATAATTAAGTTTTTTTTTAGTTTTTTTTTTTTTGAGCGTTATGCACACATTATCTGTTACTGTGCCTGCTTCTTTATTATTTTTAATCAAGTTACAGGATCAAGATGGTAGACACAAAAGAAGATAACCAGCCACTTTCAGCCACTGCGCAAAACACAAAATTCATCTGGTCACCAAAGGGGATGATTTTAGCTCTTGAAATTGTAAGTCTGCCCAGAGTTAGAAATGTAGTTAATCAAGATTCATGCTGATTTAAAATTAATAATGTACTAATCTGATTGGTTTAAAGTAGTATTAAGCATAATACTTTTATTTGATACATTTATGACAAGGTGATTCATCTTGAACAATTTTGTGTGTGTGTGTCATGGATCAGAAAAATGCATATATGTATATACAGTACTTTTTTAATAAATTATTTTACTATTTGTTTTAATAGGCTCTGTGTGCCATTGTGACTATTTGTAAAGCAGTTTCCTTTGAATGCTACTTGTGGGGCTGCATTACAGAGCTGGTCTGGGCCATTCTCATATTCATCGTTTATGCCATCGACCTACCTACCTACATGCACCTATCACTGATGTATTTCCAGTGGCTGGTAAAAAATATTTGTGTACTCGATATTGGATTATCGTTATTTATTTATTTAGACCAATTACTTGCCCACCATGTTATAAGTTATAAGCTTACTCAATACCTTTTATTCTCAAGCTCTTCCTTTTAATTTTTTTACTGAAAAAATACATTTAAACAAAGTCATATGTTCTCCTTCATATTGTAGGACTTATTCAGAGCAATCACAGGATCAGTCCTCCTTCTTGTTACTTCTCTTATCTGTCTTAGCTGAGGATGGAAAAGTTCCGGGGAAGTTGCTGGTTCGGTGAGTAAATTGGCAAAGACTGCATTTGTGGCTGAAAGGATAATCTTAAAAGACAAAGTAATAAAAGTTATCGGTTACTCTGCCTAGAAATTAATATCTAATGGTGTTGCTGTCAAATTCTCTGAACACATTTTACAAAATTAGATCCTAATGTACTTTTTAGTGATTATAAGATGTATGTATATGAACGATTGATTTCTTATTTTCTGTTTTGCATTTTATGACCCTTGTGCTTTCACCATTGTTTCTTTCATACTTTTTTCATGCTTGCTCTTTCTTTAAGATTTTTGGTTTGCTGGCAGCAGCAGTGCTTGGATATGATGCCTTTGGCATAATCAAATACATTAAAAGTCTGAAACAGCAGGGGGCGACTGTGGCTGTTAGTAAGTATCAGCACCAACATTCCTCAATAATCACTATAAAGTTATATGCAATGTTTTTAAATGTCCTTTCCAAATGTTAGAAACCCTTAAATAAAGAAAACATCTTAGAACTTGGATGTTGGTTTCACAAATACACAGAAGTACAGGTCCAAAAACATCATAATCTTCTTTCTGTGCAGTTTTTCTTCAGTTTTTGCCAGGCTTTAATGATACAACAGCTCAACTAATTGTTTTACATGTTCTGTTTTCCTTCCCAGGTGTTGTTATGGTCGAAAATTTGGTTTTCTGAATACAACAGGAACTCCTAAGGTTTTCACATACCGTATGTTTACAGTTGATAATTTTTTATATTTTTGTCATTTCTTGTTAACATCTAAAAATCTAGATTAAAATGACAAATTTTCAAATATACTTGATGTTATGACCTTAAAGAGTGCAATTATTAGCCTGTTGCATATTTTCTGTTGCAGATCAATAATACACAGTAATATACAAACCTCATAAACTAAAAAATTAAGTGAGATTTTAACATTTTATTGAGAACCAGCTTTCACAAAACCATATATAAAGGTACAAACAAAAAAAAAGAATTCAAAAGGTTGTGTTCCCAAAATGCTAATTCACCTATATGAACACAACAGTCTCTCTAATTTAAAAAGCCCTACAATAAAAAAATGGCAAAGACAGATATCCAGTTCATATAAAAAATATTCACAATAACAAAGAAAGACATTTAATACACTTAACCCTAAAATCGCTAAGTAAACATGAATAAAAGATTAAAAAAAATAAATGAACTATAAAAGACAAATGATTAAAAAAAAAAACAGAAAACAGCAGCACCACAGACTGGGAAGATTGATTTTCAACACTGATCCTACCATAGATGTTGGCAAGAAAAGAGTCTCCTGAGAAAGATACTATATAATAGTATCTGTGAGTAAAGACTGTCTGCACATTATAAAGTGCACTTGAATTACTAGTCACCTCTGTACTGTGTGGGGACTGCAAACTGGTCTCCTCTGGGATGGGCCGGTTCTGTTGTGTGTTGTTTTTCCATTTGTTGTGTTGTAGCTAAATTGTCCCCAGCTATCCTAGTAGACCCAGATGGTCCAGTGCAGTTTTGGATGCTATCTCTGAGCTCAGACAGCTGGTGAGAATGGCTAACAAGGGTGCTATTTACATGAGACAGATACCCATCAGAGTGTCTCTCCAGCTCTCCTCGAATTCTTTCTAGGTCGTCAGCCAGGTGTGCCAGACCTCCACACTGACCCTCCACACGAGCAACATGACCCCCGACTTCAGTCACCTTTTTCTGGACACCCAGAGCAGTGGAACGGCAACCCTGGAGCTCTCCGGCCACTCGGCGCCGCAGATCCTGGAGTTCCCCTTTCAGACGGGTCAATTTTCGCTCTCCAGTACCCAACATAGATGCCTGTCGTCCCACCAGCTGAACCACACCCTTCACCTGCTGCGCAAGCCTTTCTTCTCTTTCTTGCCAGGTGAAGTTGGTTTGGCCGACCTCTCTGATCACAGAGCCGAGAGACTCTTGCAAGCCACAGAGAGACCTGTTAACGGAGTTCATGCTAACTTTCAGCAGGGTCACCTCACCCTGAAGACCTGCCTCCTCTTGTTTCTCTGCCAACTGGACAAGAAGATTATGTAGAGTGGCGTTGAGGTTGTTCAATCTCTCTACTTGTAAATCAAGTTTCCCATTCATTTCCTTGTGGTTGTCCTCACTTCCCTCATCCTCAGTTCCCAAAGGAGCGACATATCCTGTAAGAACAGGCTGTGGAACACAAGATGAAGTGCACATGACCTCTATGGATTTGAGCTGTTTCTGTAAACGGTCCAAATCGTCCTCAACTCTTCTTCTGAGCGATTCTACTTCTGTCTCCAGTGTGGGCAGAGCCTGACCCTCTAGTAAAGTTGGTGCTGTGACATTACCTAGCTCCTCCACTGCAGCCAAAAGACGACTTTCGAGAGCCTTAAGCTTCCCCTCCAATTGCACCTCCAGGTTGCTAGGCCCTCTTTTGTTAATGGTTGCTTCCTCTTGATTTAATGCAATGTTCATCTTGGATTCCATGTAGCCTAGTCGGCCTTCCAACATGCCCTCTATATGGTCCCTGTGTCCACCAAGTTCAGCACGTAAATTAATTTGGGACTCATTGAAGCCACCCACTGACTGCTCCACATAAATGAGCCTTTCAGTTAGACCTGATATGGCAATGCAGCAACCCTCTTCAGGCTCCAGGTCTCGAAGCTGAGCCTGCAGTTTTTGGAGTTCTGTCCTTAATCCTATGGCCCTTATGTCTAGGACTTGCTCAATTTGCTCTTGTCCATCCAAACGTTCCTCCTTGCACTGAAGGCGCAGCTCTGCCATACGACCCTCGCATCGCTCCTCAGCACTCTCCACACGCTTTTCAAAGCCATCTAAGATGGCCACCCGAGCTTCGCTCATTTTGGACTCCACCATTGTCTCCAGGGCCTTTTGAAAGTGAGTTTGTGTAAGGTTCACTGACCTATTTGACAGTCTTTGAAGGGTGTTGTTGTGACCCACGACTGCTCCTCTCAACTCTTCCATCTCAGATGCCTTTGCCACAAGCTCTGCTCGTAGCTCTGAAACCTTTTCAGCCAAATCGACCAAGTTTGGGAACTGACCCACCACATCTGAACCGTCAATATCTGGTGCACCTCCAGGCAGATCTCCAAAACCTACAGAAGAGTCCCTGGACAGGGAAGGAGTGGCGATAGGGCTGGGTCCTGCAGAAATGAGAGCAGTCAACATTCGGTTGGCGTCTTCACGGAGGGAAGCACGCAAGCTGTCCTCCAGGCCTGTCACTGTACCACGAAGAGTCTCTAGACCAAGAGAGAGTCGCTGCACATCCTCTTCTATCCTATCCAACCGCTCATCTTCGATACTGTTGTCATCATGATCTGTGAATGCATTATATTTATTTAGTTAGTCTGAACACACTTGCAGCTTTATATTTAACAAAGAAATTATGACTCTAGAAAACTGTATATACTAGAGTGTGTAACTAAAATATAGCTCATTTACCTTGGTTTGTTTCACTTCCACCAGAGGGCGCCTGTGCACTGGGAACAGGCTCTGTCTCACTATGTTCTGGTATAGAACTATAGTGATCTGGCTGTGGATTCTGGTAGTCTGTGATTGGCTCATTCTCTTCTGGGATTACATCATGGCCAAGATCTTGAGGCTCTGGCATCGGTTCAGGATAATCTACTTCCAGTTCCTGGTGGTCTGGAGAAATTTCAGCTGAGGTATCTCGGGAAGAGGGACCAGTATTAGGGCCTGGGTATTCATTCACGCCATTAGGTGGTGTTTGAGGTTGATTCCAGGGGTTTCCATTGAAGCTGGGATAGGGAAATTGGCCTTTAAATGAAGGCACTGGACCCTTTTGAGAGGGATTGGGACCTTTAAATGAAGGCACTGGACCCTTCTGCATAGGCCTGGGACCCTTCTGTGCAGGCATATGCCCTTTAAAAGAAGGCATAGGACCCTTCTGTGCAGGCATGGGCCCTTTAAAGGAAGGCATAGGACCCTTCTGCATTGGCATAGGTCTTTTAAAAGAAGGCATAGGACCCTTCTGCATTGGCATGGGCCCTTTAAAAGTTGGCATAGGACCCTTCTGCATTGGCATGGGCCCTTTAAAACGAGGCATATGACCCTTCTGTGCAGGCAGTGGTCCTGTGAATAGGGGCCTTGCTTTCATTCCATATACCGCAGTACAACCAACACCTGCATATCCAGGACAGCATTTCCACTCCAGCTCTGTCATAGTCTTATATGCAACTTTATACATGGGTTTGTAGTACATGCGATACCTGTAAGAACAGACAGGGTGTCAAAATTAGCTAAATCTAACAAATGCATTTTTTATACAAATATATATTTATATACAAGTGTATGACAGTTAAACAGTTATTAATAGCTTACTTTATAGTTGGGCATTTCTGACCCCAAGCACACTTGTTGTACTCTGGCTTCATGAAGGGAGCTGCTCCATCCTGAATAGTGAACGAGACAGTCTTCTCCACAACATATGCACAGTGGTTCCTGAAGAGATACAATTATATAACACTCACTCATTGAAGTTGTCAATAGCAAGAAAAACAAATATTCCCTCTCTCTCAACACTGAAAGAATCAGCTATTTGCTGTGCTGTACACAATATGCTATGTTACCTAAATAAATGTTACCTAAACCAACCTTTATATATTAACATTAGCCAACCAGTAGTTAATACAAACTAACAATCAACAGAATTTCAACATTTATTTCTCTTGGTTAACATTTATTTGTACATATATTTTAACATTAAAAATTACATACACTAACATTGTTTTATAGTTCCACTAACAATTACAGAATATATAATCACATTAAGCAAAATTATTAAATTCTACATAAATTATCATTGTTGTTGGTGATGATACCTAATGCATTTACTAATGTTAATGTAAAGATCTAATTGTAAACATTTTTATTCTTTATGAATTCACCACATTTGAGGAGATTTATGATAGCACCTCAATGTAAATCAAACATATTGCACCCAACAGTAATACCAAACTGGAAAATGTTAA